GCCTAATCTTCCTTCCAAGGAGTGAGTGGCTGGTGGGTTTGAACCGCCAGCCTTCTGATTATCAGTCCAATGCTGTAGGCACTATGCTACCAGAGCTCCCTCCTCACAGTTTAGAAGGCTGGAAGTTTGAATTTTAAAGCACCAGCTCTAGGGGAAGGCTTTCTCTCTGTTGGCTCTGGAGGAAGGTCCTTGTCTCCTTTCAACATCTGTGGGAACAGTGTTCCTTGGTGAGCTACATAAGTCTTGACATCGATATTCCCCTGGGTTTAGGAGGTTCTCAGTGTAGTGACCTTGGGTCCAATGGGTGTCCTCAGCTCCTGGCTTTTTTCTTGGTGGTAGTTAGGTTTGTGTCTCTCAGCTCAATGTCACTCTCCTTTTATCTCTTGTAAGATAACAGCTGATACAGACCACACCCCAGGGAAACTCCCCTTCTATCCATCACATCATGACTGTGACCTGAGTAAAAGTGTTGCTGTCCCACCCAAAACCTTCCCATTAACATAAACATAACCTAATGCTCTTAACATAACCCAATCCTGCCTCATGTTGTTGTTGTTATGTGCCGAGTCGGACCCTCTTTGGGTTTCCGAGGCAGTATCACTACAGAAGTAGGATTGCCCAACCTTCATTCCTTCTGAGGAATGGCTGGTGGATTTGAACCACCAGCCTTATGGTTAGCAGTCAAAGTTCCTTAAGCACCATGCTACCAGAGCTCCCGCATAAACACATCCAAAAAACCAAACTCACTGCCATCAAGTTGATTACAACTCCTAGAGATCCCCATTGGGTTTCTGAGACTATAAATCTTTATGGAAGTAGATCGCCCCATCTTCCTTCCACAGAGTGGCTGATAGGTTTGAACCATAGACCTTCTAGTTAGCAGCCTAATGCCTTATCCACTATACTACCAGAGCTCCTTCATAAACACAGAGAGGTCAGGATTTATAATACATCACAAAATGGAGGCTAACCACCCAAATACTGGGAATCACAGCCTAGCTAAGTTGACATATATTTGGGGCGCCAAATTTAATCCATGAGAAGTTAATATTCCAGATCATTTATTACCTATATGACCTTGAGCAAATTATTGAACCTTTCTGAATCTCAGCAACAATGCACTGTTAACAACTGTTAACACCGTTCATATACTGTCCACAGGTTTGCTGAGAATAGGTTAATGTTTTAATTTGTAAAATCAATTTTTTAAATATCACATCTCTGTGAGTTTTCACACACTCATTCATTCCTCCATTCATTGCACAGGTATCACTGCACATCCAGCACATGTCTGGCACCCATGCCTGGCACCATGCATAGAGTGAGCTTGCAGTCCTCCACAGCTGGCATTTCTCACCTAAACTGCTGCTGAGCTCCCAGTTTGTCCAGTGCCCAACCTCACCACCCCCATCCTAAACGCAGGCCCTTACACTTGCCCACTTACATGGTCTTACGTCTTCTTGATGGATCCAGCCCAGCCAACACTATCCCTCACCCTCCTACATACAGTTTCTGCAGCTGCTATGAGCAGTCTCATCTTTGGCCTTACCCTGAACCCTGACAAAATCCTTCCCTTAGGAAGGCAGGATGTTCCCTTTGATCAGACTTTCAACACCCCTTTTTCATCTTATTCTCTCTTGTCTCTCAGCATCTCTCTCCCTTTTCCTACCTTCTCCTTCCAGCTCCCAAACAGTTCCTCCCTCTGATCTAAGAAAAGTTATGCTAACAGGAGAGCTCAGCTTTAGCCAGCCAGTCCAGAAGCAGGTAGGAAGGACCAAGGACTCACGCTCACTGGTTTTCTCTGATACTGAAATGGAGGCTAAGGGATTAAGACAGAATACCCAGACCTCCCTGGAATACCTAGGCAGCCCAGGTCACCCACCTCTCCAGAGCAACACCCTCATCCAATTGACATGTCACCCTTGACCTATGGAGCTACCCAACTCCAGTGGATCCATCTGGATTTCCTAAACTGAGCCCCCAGCCTTCAGTCTACCCTCCAGGTCTCCTTGGCAATAGAAATGCTGAGTCTGTCCTCACTATGTCTGGATCTATTAGCCTGTCCCTCTTCAGGAAAAATGGTTGGTCCAAGATCAATTCTCCTTGCCTGTCTGCTGTCCAGAACAGTGTATCATTTACCCGGTCCAGGCCCAGGATTCTTTTTCTTCAGAGCCTAAAGCTACCTCTCTAGAGTGGGATGACAACCTGAACAATTAAGTGAGAAAATTTAAGTCCCTTTGTAGTGTGTTGGGGGAAGTTTGGCTAAGGGGATGGAGCTGTGGCTAAGCAGGCAGAAGATCTGGGTTCTCTAACCACAGATTTATAACAGATAACTCTGAGTAAGTTTCTGCCCTGTCTGGGCACTGAGAAGGCTAGTCTACTGGAAGACTATGTTTGACTTGGAGGTTCTACTCCCATATCTCTTCTGGAGCCAGGGATTCCTTTGAGGGGCGCTGGTAGCAGTTCAAACCCACCAGCAGCTCTGCAGGAGAAAATAACCTTGCAAATTGCCTCCATAAAGATTACAGCCTAGGAAACCCTACAGGGTAGTTCTACCCCATCCTATAACTGAAAAAAAAAAAACCAAACTCACTGCCATCGAGTCAATTCCCACTCACAGCAACCCCCAATAGGCCTCCAAGGCTATAAATATTTCCTATAACCAAACCAAACCAAATGCACTGCCGTCAAGTTGGATCTGACTCACAGCAACCCCTCCTTGGGTTTCTGAGGTGGTATCACTACGAAAGTAGATTGCCCAACCTTCTTTCCGAGGATTGGCTGGTGGGTTTGAAGTGCCAGCCTTCTTGCTAACAGTCAAATGCCTTAGGTACCATGCCACTAGAGCTCCTAAATATTTCCCATAGGGTCACTATAAATTGTAATCAACTCGATGGCACATGTCCCTGGCAATGGTGCGTAATGACCATAAGAGGGCAGGCATCTTCTTCAGCTTAGTTGTTAAATGAACTAGTGTATCTCAAAAAGGAATATTGAGGTATCCAAGTGGAAGAACAGACTGCAAACTGGCAAGAGGAGGGATTGAAACAGGGTATTCAAATTTCCAGCCTAAAGGAAGGTCAGGAGCCCCAGAACCAGGAAGGGTGATAAAGAGAGGGCTAGTGGGCAGCAGAGGAGAGACTGAGACTATACTTGGGAGATCTTTATCACTTTGAGAGGAGTGGGGTGGGGTCTTTCGGGGAGGCCATGACTGATAATATTGCCTCAGAAATTCTGGAGTAGGGCTTAAAAAAAAACTTTGGGGGTTTAGGGAAGGTGATCAACTTGGCTTCCCTTCCTTCCCCAGCATAGAACGAAAAGTGCAGAAACTGCAGGAGTTATTACAGAATTTGGGGAAGACTCTTCCACCTCAGAGCCCCAAGGGCAGTGAATAGCTATGCATCATTTTCTCTCCCAGTAATTTAGTTTCAAGGCCCAGGAAAAACAGTCACCACCAAATGGGTCAATTATCTGAAGTTCAAAGAGTTAATTTTCAATAATTCATTCTGATAACAGCCATAGACCTTGTCTCCCCCTATACCCTGGGCTTGTCCCTTCCCTGAGCCCCAGGTTGGCAGCTTCCCTGAATTCCTTCTTTGGTGTAATTCACTAGAGCCCTGGGACCTATGCCCAGAGCCAGTCCTCTGCTCCCTTCTTTAGGTCCCAGGAGACTAGGGCTTACTCTAAGGGAGGAAATAGGCCTTTCCCTCACTCCCTGCCCCCTCCTGGGATGTGGGCCCAGGGACCAAAGAACTTCTGTCTTTTCCTGCCACGCCCCCATTGTTGCCCAGACAAGGGGATTCCTTGTGTCTCAGCCTCCACCAGGCATCATTGTGACCAAATGGTGGAAGGCAAGGGGCTGAGTAGGGGAAGGAGAATCACAAGGTCAGAGAAGAAAACATCTCCCTTCATCCAAAATTCTGATATACTCCCCCAGTCCAGAGACTTCAAGCCTCTAGATCCTTCTGGCTCCCAGTAGCAATGGAGAAAAATGGCTGAGGGCTTATCTGCATATAAAAGGCCTGAGGTCTGAAGAGGAAACTGAGAAGGTGTGGTGATACAAAGGCTGAATCTCCTGGCAGGCAGATTTGGAGCCAGGACACAAGAATGGGGGCAACCCTGGGCTTGGGTAAGACAGGGAACTGTGGCAGGGGTGGGCCAAATAGACTTTATTGAAAGGACTAAGTAGAGGTCCCTGCCAACTTCCCTCCCTAAAAGCTCAGAGACAGACATACAGGCACCAAAGATAGGGATGTAGCCACAGAGGAAAGGAGATCCTCTAGGATAAAATGAGAACCCCTGTTCAAGAAGTAAGAACCGTTCTGAAAACAAGTACAAACATCTGGCAGAAAATGAGAACATTTCCTGCCAGAAATAGTAATGTGTTCCCACTCACAAGAAGTAATGGTATGGACAATAAATGGTATAGTATCACTTAGCAGCAAGGGTTCAGTCACCTCTTTACTGATCTATCACCAACTGAGGACTGGTACAGAGGAAGTGTTAATCCCTCCTGGCAGGAAATGACATCATTCAACAGACAGGAAGAGTGGTTCTACTCACTCTAAAGGCTTGTGGGAGGGCCAATTCATGGAGGGTTGGCCTTGAATGTCCTTGTCTTTCCTTCACCCTCCCCCTTGGCCAGGAGTGGGGTCAATGGACCTAGACTTTGGGTGAGGTAACCAGACCTGTCTCTACCAGGGATCTCCTAGGGGTTCTAAATCCCTCAAATCTTTATCTAGTGGGTAGATGAGGATATCATCACACCAGAAGTCACAGGCCAAGGCTCTAGAGTCAATGTCTCTATGGAAATAGCTGTAGGGACCCAATAATTGAGGAATAAAGGCCAGAGACTTCCCAGAAACCAAAGGGATGGTGAAGCCAGATTTCCATGGTAACCATAGAGTGCTGATTTCAATGCAGGCTCTTCATAGTCCCAGATTGAGAGAGAGTTTTAAGGGAGATGAGGGAGTAGAGATAAGAGAAGCCACAGGAAACATTTACAAGAAGGTCACATCATCCTGGCATTGCCCCCAGTACCAGTGGGCTTCGAAGCCCAGCTTGGCAGCCTCGTCCTCTGGTGGCTCAGACAGTATACCTTGGAGCCCTTCCCCTGGAGATTTCCACCCAGCCCTCAATCCCCCTAACCTGGTGGCTGTCACCTCCACCTCAGTCCTGGCTCTCTCCCCACTGGGAACAACCCTTGCCCAGTCCATCTCAAGTGGGGGAGCCCTAGGGTGGCCCTGTTCATCCAGCTCGTTGGGGGCCACTGTGTCCAGGAAGCTGCCGATGGAGACACTGTCCAGGTGGTCAGTGGAGCCAGTGTCTGGCAGGCTGTCCCAGCTGCCCCGTCTTGAACGGCCTGGGCTCCCGCCTGTCAGGCTATATTGGCTACTGGTGAGGCTGCTGCAGTGGCTGGTCAACGTCCCTCGCTCCTCCAACAGCCAGCGCACTCCCTCAATGCCCTCATTCAAGGTCACCAGCTGCTGCAGGATCTTCACGTCGATAGCTCGCAGGTAAGCCTGGGGAAGTGGGAGAAAAGATCAGCCTTGGTTCTAGGACATGGGTTTCCCTAATATTGCCAGAGGCCCCCACCTTGTGGCCCATCTATCTATGCTTCTCTTTGAAGAAGCTTAGAAATAGAGTGATTTGGACTATGGACTTTTTTTTTTTTTTTTTTTTCAATTGTGCTTTGGGTGAAAATTTATAGACCAAATTCACTTTCCATACAGCAGTTCACATACACTTTGTCTCATGACATTGACCACAATTTACCACAATGCAACAACTCCCTTCCGACTTCCTCCCCATAGTTACCTCTTCCCTATGTCCATCCATCCCTCCATGCACTCCTGCCCTCTGAGCTGTCTCCCTGTGCATAAACAGCCCTTCTTTCTCCCATGATTGTTCTCTCCAAGGAGTGTATCTACCTCAGGTAAATGTTCAGCTCATATGCCTGCCTTTTGTTTGGCTAAGAAGCCACAAGTGTGGGTTCAATTCCAGACCTGAAGGGCAGCTAGGGGCCATAGTCTCAGTGGTTCCACCAGGACTGTGAACTTTTTAGAAGCAGAGACTGCTGTTAAAATTCCAGCTCTACATATGACTGTGGACAACTTTCTTCTTTGAGCTTCAGTTTTCTTGTTTGTAAAACAGAGCTAAATCACTCATCTTAGAGAGTGGCTATGAAGGTGTTTTTTTTTTTTTTTGTTTTGTTTTTTGTTTTTTAATTGTAACGAGGTGAAAGTTTATAGAGCAAATTCATTTTCCATACCACAGTTCCTACACACTTTGTTTCATGACATTGATTGCAATCCTCATAATATAACAGCTCTCTTCCCACTTCTTCCCTGTGGTTACCTTTTTCCTATGTCCTCCTTTCCTAAGTATTCCTGTCTTGTGAGCTGTCTCCCTGTACAAACACTGCTCTTCTGATCTCCCATGGTTGATTGTTCTAAGGACTGTACTTACCTGGTGTAAATGTTCACCTTATATGCCTGTTTATTGTTTGGCTGGAAGCCATGAAAGTAAGTTCAATTCCAAGCCATCTAGTGGCCATAGTCTCAAGGGTTTTACCAGTCTCTATCTGACCAGTAAGCCTGATCTTTTTCATGATTTTGAGTTTTGTTCCACATTTTTCTCCTACTCTATCCAGGATCTCCTACTTTGATCCCATTCCAAGTCATTGACAGTGGTAGCCAGGCACTATCTAGTTCCTCTGGTCTCAGGGTCATGTAGGCTGAGGTTCTCATGGTCCACTAGTCCCTTGAATGAATTGTTTGCATGCATCTTTGATTTTCTTCATTCATATTTACTCTGCTGAGGAGACACCAATTGTTGCATCTTAGAGGGCCACTCTAAAACTTTTAAGACCCCAGTCACTACTCACCAAAGTAGGACGTAGAACAATGTTTTTGTGTAGTATGTTATGCCAATTGAGCTTGAAGTCCCTGTGACCATGGTCTCAAGCCCATGGGCCCAGTAACTCACTTCATTAGGGTATTTGGCTGCAGTTAAGAAGTTAAGGTGGCTATGAAGTTTTGAGGCATATTGCCTGCCACAGAGTAAAGTCTCAATAAAGGTATTAAAACTGGTTCCTCTGAGCTTCGAACTTCATATTTAGGGTTTTAATACTGAACCAGGGATCTAGATTTACCAGTAAGACAATTAGCCAAGCAAAGCTGATATGGGCCCAGGTGTTAATTGGGAAGTAACCTAGATCAAAAGGAGGCAGGAGCTGGGGAAACAAGAGGGAGGTGACCTGGGTCCCCAGCCCCTTCAGGGTGTTAGTAACAGGTGTTAAGGAAGGAAAGGCTGGGCATAACTTAGGAGGATCAGAATCCCTCTGGCTGGGTACTCAGGGTTCTCTTTCCCACATTTGACAGAAAGTCTGTCTGTACTGGGAGTAAGTCTGATTTACTGAGTAATCTCTAGGGTTCTGTACAACTAACATTCACTGAGTTACCTTCCCCAAGCACAAGTCTGAACTTGTCCCTTCTCTGCTCAAGAGGCTCTATAGCTTTTTCACTGCTCTTGGAGAATAAAATTGAAACACTTCAGCAGCTGGCATTCAAAAGCCTATCATAATACAGCTCTCGCCCATCTCTCTAGCTTTACCTCTAATATATATCCCAGTGCATCCAAGGTCCTGCCACACATCACTTTTTTTTTTTTTTAATTGTGATTTGGGTTAAAGTTTACAGAGCAAATTCACTTTCCGTACAGAAGCTAACATACACTCTGTCTCATGACATTGACTACAATTTCCCACAATGCAACAGCTCCCCTCCCACTTCCTCCCCATAGTTACCTCTTCCCTGTGTCCTTCCCTCCCATACACTCCTGCCCCGAGCTGTCTCCCTGTGCATACACAGCCTTTCTATTATTCCCCCAGGATTGTTATCTCCAAGAAGTTTATCTATCTAGTGTAAATGTGGAAGCCACAGGTGTGGGTTCAATTCCAGACCTGAAGGGCAGCTAGGTGCCATAGTCTCAGGGGTTCCACAAGGCTCTATCAGACCAGCAAAGCTGGTCCCCCCCTTTTCTTTTTTTTCCAAATGATTTTGAGTTTTGTTCCACATTGTTCTCCCTCTCTACCCAGGATCTCCTACATAGATCCCCCTGAGAGTGGTTGACAGTGGTAACCGGGCACCATCTAGTTCTTCTGGTCTCATAGTCATATAGGCTGTGGATCGCATGGTGTACCAGTTGCTAGGACTAATTGTTTCCATGAATCTTTGGTTTTATTCATTCTTCTTTGCTCTGTATGAGGAGAGACCCATCGTTGCATCTACATGGCTGCTTGCAAGCTTTTAAAATCCCAGTCGCTACTCACCAAAGTAGGAGGTTGAACAATGTTTTGTGTAGTATGTTATGCCAATTGAGCTTGATGTCCCCTGTGACTATGGTCCTGAGCCCACAGGTTCAACTACTCGGTCCCTCTGGGTAGCTGGCTGTGACCAAGAAGGGACTACAACCTTGTCCTTTGTCAGCTCCACTATACACCTAGGAATTCAGATCATACAAATACACTTATAGGACCATTGTCTGCCAACCCTATACATGGTCTTGGGTATACTCCCTGCTTCATAGACATACCTAATAGTTCAGTCTGTCCACACATTTATCTACCCGTATACCCATGATTGCCTTCACTGACAACGCAATACTGTATGTGCAAAAGGGTTCATCTTTGTTGTCTGTACCTCCCATGTACTTGTCTATGTCTTCTTCTTCCTCAATGCCACCATGTTGATCACTCACATTTGGTACATTGTTCTTCTCTTCACCCAAATCAATACTTATCTCTACCTATCTAACAGTGTTCCCTCCCCTCCCTCCCCTTCCACCACTTTGTTGGTAACCAACAAAGAAAATTTCCTTCCATATCTAAAACTTTCTTTGAGTTTTACAATAATGGACTAATACAATATTTGTCCTTCTGTGGCCACGCATCATTTTTAAATTGTTTTAATTTTAACTGAAGTAACAGATGAACCTAGATTAAAAAGGCAAACAGTTCTACAAGGTTTATTATGAAAAATTAACAGTTCCTCCATCCTAGTCCTAAATTCCACTTCCCAGAAACAACTATTTCAATTTTGCAGCTGTTTCTCTTGGTGTTTACCTCCTAACCTCTAAATAACTTGTTTATATCGCTACTTCCTGATTTTTCAGTTTGGGGAGTTTTCTATTAACTTCCCTTACTACAAAAGGTTAGGATTTAACCCTTTTGTCACATTCTGAACTCTCTTGCCACACAAATACCCTGCCTACTTTCCTATCCTCCCAATATATGCAACAAAATTAATTATTCAATATTCACTTTATTACGATTTCAGGATGCTATTCACAGCTAAGTCATGGAGCTTACTATGATTGCTTTTCTTGCTACTACTTTTTGTTTGCCTTAGGTTTTTATTATTATTTTTATTTATTTATTTATTTTAGTTTGCTATATACTTATCAGTAACTAATTACTATAAAAACCAAAAATAAGCTCATTGCTGTCGAGTCAATTCTGCCTCATAGTGATCTAGTGTCACAGAGTAGAACTGCTCCATTGAGTTTCCAAAGCTATAAATCTTTATGGAAGCAGATTGCTACATCTTTCTTCCACACAGAGTGACTGGTGGGTTTAAACCTTTTGGTTAGCAACCAAGTGCTTAACCAGTGCACTACGAGGGCTCCTAATCCCCAAAATCTTCCTCAGTTGTCTAAGTTTCTGTCTCAATGCTTTCAAACTCATTCAAAGTCATCTACCATCTTCTTAGAGACATCTCCTTGGTAGCCTTCTGATTTGCTCTAATTTGTCCCTCTGCACAGCTGTCCTCTGGGGATCTCTCTTCACCATCACCTTGGGGATTCCCGCTGCCTCTCTCCTAAGTTGTATGCATTTCCCAGATCTCCTGACTTCTTCTTTCTTAATTTACTTCTTTAGTAGCTTCCTGAGAAAGTCTGTATGGGGGTACATTTGTTAAGGTCTTGCATGTTTAAAAATATTATTCTATCCTCACACTGTTGATAGTTTGGCTGGGTTAAGAATTCTAGGTTGAAAATAATTTTTTTCTCAGAATTGAAGATATTGTTCCATTGTCTTCTAATTTCCAATGTTACACTTTTTAAAGTTTGATGTCATTCTTGATCCTTTGTATGTGAGTATTTTTCCTCTCTTTCTAGACATTTTTAGGTTCTTCCTTTATTCTTAGTGCTCTAAAATTTCATAGTATTTTGCCATGGTGTTGGTCTATTTTCATCCATTTAGTTGCCTACTTGATAGACCCTTTTAAGCTATAAAATCATGCCCTTCAGTTCTGGAGGATTTTCTTTGATGATTATTTTTCCTATAATACTTTTTTGTTCTTTCTGGAAACCTGACTATTTGAATCAAGGGATTCTCGGACAGATCCTCTTTTATTTGTTTCTTTTTTTTTGTCTTCCACCTCTTTCTACATTTTCTCTAGTTTCTGAATAATTTCAATGTGGTCAAACTTTCTATTGAGTTTTTCATGTTTTTATTTCAAGA